CTGGCCCAGTCCTAGTTCCAGTCCCGCCCTTGCCAGCCCTGCAAGCTTCCAGCTCAGCCACTGCCCTGGTACCTGCCTCCACCCCGCTTTCTGTGTCAGCGGTCGCAGAGCAGTTGCCCGTGCCACACACCTGGACTTGCGAGTCAAGCGAGGCACAGACAAGTCAGACCAGCCCGAGAGCTGCAGCTCTTGTTCCTGCTGACACATCAGACGCGAGCAAGGTGGAGGAGGTCACGGCTTTTGCTGACCCGAGCAAGGTGGAGGCTGCTGTCGCTCGGTTTCAAAGGGCTCTTGCAGACCGAGAAGAAGCCAAGGGCAAGGAGCAAGAGACAGCGCAGGCCGCGCACAAGGACTCGCCTGCTCTACGCCGCTGTCGCTCTAAGACGCCTTGCCCCGACCAGCCAGCCGCGAAGAAGACCCGCGCCTCGCCCAAGGACCCTGCAGACCAGGCGCTCCCCAAGACCCAGAAGGCGACAGAGGCTGCAGCGACCACGAAGAAGGCCAAGTCCCAGAAGTCTTCCGAAGCTTCGAGCGCGAAGCAGAAGCAGCCAAAGCCGAGCCAAGCTGGGGAGGCCAAGCAGACAAAGACCCGCAAGCCAAGCCACGGCTCCTCGAGCGTAGCGGACGGGCCCCGGCAGCTTAGCACCAGCACGAAGTGTGTCGCCAGCCGCGCTTACCACAAAGCCAGGAAGGAAGCAATCACAGCTGGCAAGACGCCCGAGGCTGCTACTGAGCTCGCTCGCTCCGCGCATCGCCGAGTGTATGCTGCGGCTGCTGCGGGCGCCTGATCAGTTTTGTGACTCCTGCATTTTTTCCGTTTCATGATCCCGGGCAAAGACGAAATGCAGCAATTACTCTACTTGTCGCTCGAGCTGTTTACTCCGAAGCTTAAACCGTAAACCCTATAGAAATTAAAGTAAACCCCTAGACATCCCTAGACTAAACCCTAAACCCTAAGTCCCAAGCCCTAAACCCTATTCCCTAAACCCTAAACCCTACTATAGGGGCCTTAATAATTAGAATAGGGTTTCGGCGCCCATTGTACTACAATTATAGTAAGGAACTCCCACAGCAATATTGGTAATGAGGCTCCTATATGGTCAAACTTACGATATAGGTACCCGTCAGCTTGTCTCAGAACTGTGTGGATCCGAGTTTATTGCCTGGACATTTTGATCGTACAGTATAAGCATGTTGCGGCCGCCTTGAGCAGACCCAGTCATAACGACAGTCGCCCAGATCAGCATGCGATGTACCATAGCGCGTGTGTGCTGCACGGCAACAGCCATTGTAAATGCTAGCTCTACACGCGTTGTTTTACCTACCGCCAGATATCCTTTGAAGCAGTTTCTGTCTCTGAAGAGCGCTGGTTTTCCAGCTTCGCTCTGCGCTGCCACAGAGCCGAGGCAACCGTCTCTGCCACCTTGTGAAAAAGACAGCAGGCTCAACTTTGCCCTTGCTTG